ACAGCTGTTGCTGCTACTACTACTCCTGCTGCTGCAGCTACTACTACCACTACTACTACTACTACCACCACCACTACTACTACTACCACTAGCACTACCACTACCACTACGACTACTACTGCTACTACTACTACTACTATTCCTGCTCCTGCTTTGGGGATGTGGCTTTGCCCCCTCTACCCTGCAAAAGGCGAAAGTTTGGCGAAAGTTCAGCTCAAGATTAGCGAACGTTTACCCTGCCACATCTGACCCCCAGCCCATTATGAGTAAGTCTGAGTGACCGGCTACTACGGTGATTCTTGCAATGTTGATTCTTGCTGACACCCAGGAGAAACAAAAGAGACGTACAGGGTGTCAACGGTGAAGTAGAAGACACATACTGACAAGCAGTGAAGTTTTTATTTTGTATTTGCCAGTAAAGAAGAAGCCATTGACGTGAACAAAATTGATACCCATCATACAACACACATGGCACACATAAATACAACGTACATCGGCGAAAGATAAAACGCAGGAAGGCGAAAGTTTGGCTAAAGTAATTTTTGTTGGCTAAGATGACGGATCCCGGATAAAGGAATTTTGATCAACACTCATATATATATATATATTATATATACATGTATTTATACTTTTATAGACGTATATACATATATTCATACATGAACTGGACAATATATGCAGTATAACATATTGTACATTATATACAATAACGCGTTTGGAGGGTACAGGTGGAAGCAAAAAACTATATAGGCCACGGTTGCACATTTACAAGAGGCACGTACTGCCAACACTCTGGCAATATGGATTCCTCAGGAAACGTGTGCTTGGAGATATTGGGAATTTGGTAGGATTTGTGAGCAGATTTGACTAGCTAGGGTTAGTTTGCTCTGAATTCTGAGGTTTGAGTATGTCACTGGACTTGTCATCCTGCTCAACATGGTCACCATCGGTGCCGAACTTAGGGCTCCGAAAGTGAATTGTTGGGGCCTCGCCGCTTGTGTCGCACAGGCTTCTGGCAAGTGTGGGTTCCTTTTAGATCCTGTTGAACACCTGGTTTTTTTGCCGGTTTAGTTTTTGCTGAAACCACGCTTTGCAATTTTGATAATGCGTTCATGTTTCTTGCTTGAAGCCATGAGGCTGTCCCCCGTGCACCCTCCTGAAACAGAAATGTCCTTGAAAGCTTTGGCGTCAACCAAGTTCAATGGATTGTTCTAACTTCCAGAAGCGGTGTCGTTCATGCATTGCAATCGCAGCAATGATTTGTTTCCAGCTCTAGTCTGTATTCTTGACGTCTTTCAGTTTGGTTGTGTTTGGCGAACCTCTCTGAGACTAACTGACAAACGTCTACAATTGTAGAGTCAATATTTTATAGCTGCTTGGGTACGGTTCAGACAGATAGTTAGACGGCTTTTCAGACAAAGCGGGTCATGTACAAATCCTCTGATTGCAGGCATAGAAGTTGAGTTATCTGCTCATGGCACTTCTGAGAGCTGGGCTGTCGACGCGGCCACTTGGAAGTCTCAGCAGGCAAGTGTGTTCCTCGGAAGTTTGGGATAACCTTTGCCTGAAAGGTTGTTGTTTCGAACCGTTTGATCCTTATTTTGCTGTTTTATCTTGGTTCTTGTCCTCCTGGCAGATGATTTGTTCGCAGCATTGCTGTAATGCGCATTCGACATGCATTATGTAGATGGATGCTCTTTGGTATTCTTTGGTGGTACAGGCAAGGGTACCTCCCATTCCCCCTTCACTTGATTGGTCTTCTGCCACGCTTTCAATTGTTTGGGCAGCATCTTCGGCTCTTGGGTTTCCATAGCTCAAGCAGATACTGCACAAGTCATGGTTTATTTATTTGCAGATGAAGAGAACAAGATGTGGGTGGGGAAGAAGCGATCAAAGAGCAAAGATCAAAGGAGACGAGCAAGGCAGACTTGCTTCTTCTCTCAAAAAATGCCAAGGAAAGAGTGTTCCTGGCACTCTACACTATTGAAGCTTGGCTTCAGGGCATTGAAGGCTAGAAATGGCCCAACGTTTTCGAAGTTCGGACGGTTTTGGAATCTTGCTTTGATGGTCAACAGATTTGGTTTGAACTACGTGATCTTGTTTGGTTTTGGAGTGCAGTGAGGGCAGTGAGTTTTTCTTCATGTTCTCCAGCTGCCAAGCCAAGCTAAGCAATTCTGACGTCCTTGAGGCATTTCGGGAACGAACTGTGAGGGCCCACTCCGCGGTTTTTGACTGGCCCCAGTTGGTCCAGGCTTGCTCGCTGGGACCATCATTGGCTTGTTGGATTCCAACGCGTTGAAACGCTGCGGTGAACATCAGCAATGATGCGGTTTTATCTTTTTTGGTGGCAGCCAGTTCTGAAACTGCAGACTTTTTTGTGCGTTGTTCCTTCGCTGATTCCACGCCGAGGAGATTACACTGAGAATCATCGGCCTTGGGACCAAGAACTTGACTATCCTTTGGTTCTACTTGGACTTTTTTCTAGTTGCCATCGGCTTGTTCCTTGTCTGGGGCCAGGAAAGCCGCTGAAGCTTGTGCACTCGATGACACGGGTGTGGCTCAAGCTTTTCATTGTGTATATTGTGTCAGAGTCCGTGCAGGCACCTGGTAGAAGAGAGTGTGTGTTTGGGGGCAAATTTGGCAGACTGAAGACATGAACACGCCGCCCCACTCCCCTCTCGTTGATGAAGCTCGCATCTAAGGTTGGCTAGGGTAGTGGTTCCCGTTTTCGGACTAGGACTTGCGCTCAGACTTCAACGGGAATGGGTTTCAGATTTGTTCGCTATGCCTGCTGCTTTTCTACATGCGTCAGTTGCTTGAGTGCCGGCATAAGACTTGCTGTGGAACAGCCAAAGAAGTGAAGTGTTTGACATGAATTATTGGACATATCCAAATCGTGGCACAAAAGCAATGTAACTATAGATATATAAATGGGAGAGACGAACACGACCGCACAATGCCCATCAACAATAAAAGGAAAGAAGTCAAGGGCCACGGGATTGTCTCGAGGAGCAAGGAGCCCGTGGACCTCAAGAAAAGCATATACAAGAGAACCTACAATTCACCAGCAATGCTACGGTTCACGAAGACTCTCGCAAAATACATAGAGTCAATGAATTGAAGATGACATCGAAGTCATCTGAAGTGCACAAAGACATACTATATCAGGTGAGTGAGAGACAGAGAGAGAATTGATTTCACGGACTCATATTTGTCCGTTGTGAGGAGACTTGGCCGGGTTTGAAAAGCTGCTCTTGGTGAGATGCACTTTGGATGCAATTAGAGATAAAGGTCCAAGTACCACTGTGATGATTTGAACATCTCGTGTGTTCGTTTCGCCGCAGGTTTGCGGCTTCTGAGACTGGTGCGAGCGCTGCGCATGATCAGCCATTTCAAGGCGCTGAGTTGGTGAATTCCTGTTTTTTGTTGTGTTTAAATCTATTTTTGTTTGAACTGTATCAACCTCAGTGGATAAGAACCCGAACAGAGGAGTGGGGTGAGTGTTGTGGCCATGATGATGCTGATTCATCTCTCGTATCGTGATCACGGCCTGCTGAATCTCACGACGGAGATAAACATCCTTGGTGCCGTGAAGATGAACATCCTTGCGTGGTCACAACGAATTTACAAGAGAAGTCAAAACTGAAATTAAAAGGCCAACTCTATGACTGACTGGAACGCACACATGGAACACACAAAACAAATAGGGCTTGAGAAAACACATCCGTTTTTACTGACAAATACGGAAACCACATCAAATATGTGTTCGTCCTTCAAGATCAAATAGGGCTTGAGAACTTGAATGCACATGTGCCATGAGCTTTGATGAGCTTTGTACATACACGTCTTGCTAGCAAGCACAATGTCTCCTTCGCCCTCACCGGCATGGTTTTTCCAATTTCGATATTAAAGACACAGAATCAAAGAGCGTTGCTTTGAACACTGCGTTTGTTCTAGTCGGACACATGGCTCCTTGGTTTTACTCTTGGATTGTATGCAATTTTGTTTTGGTCTACTGGATCTTCTGACTTCAAAAGGATTGTTGTGTGCGTGTGTGTCTTTTTTAAAGCTGCATTTCAGACGCTGTAGAGGTTGAGATGAGGATTGCGAGCGCCCATGTGTTTTCACACACACAAACACATCGCTTGGTGTGTCAACATAGGTTTTGTGCTGGGACTTTATGCCATGCTTCGGATTCATTATTGGTTAGACTTTCTGCCACACGGCTTCAGTGAACAGGTGATGTGGCGCTTGGTCTACAGCCTTCTGACTGCTGGGCAGACCCTTCTCTCTACTGCTGTTTTGACATTGTTGCTTGCCTTGGACGTGAACAAGGCAGTGGAGCATTGATGCCAAGCAGCAGGGCACCAAGACAACACGCCACCCACTCCTTTACTGTCAATTTATTACAATATACTGTACCTGATAAAGCTGTCCAAGAAGATACATCTATTCTGAACTCAGAACCCACACATGTTCTCCGCACATTTGAATCTTGCAGGTAGATACTGCTGCAAGTATGTTTCTAGTGTTGACTCATAGTCTTTTAGTCTTTCTGTTTTTTTGTCGAGCAGTGCGATACACATGTTACACCAACAAGACGGGCCATCCCACCACAGAGACGGAATCCTTCATGTGATGTCCTTGCAAGCATGGCTAATGACGGAAAGCGATGAATATCGCTTTGAGTTTCTCCCCGGTAGGTTGACGGAAAGCGATGAATATCGCTTTGAATTTCTCCCCGGTAGGTTTTGCTGGGGGGGGGGGGGGGGGGGGGGTGAAAGTTCGAGATTTGGATTTGCATACTCTTGGGTGTCTTGAAGCAATATGTTGAAATTAACGAAACACTATAAAACACGGCAACAAATGAGACTTTTTGGCATCATGAATGCAATGTTTCTTGACAAACTGGGCCCCGACTTTCCACAAGGGCTTCGGATACAAAAATGACAGAGAAAATGCTAAAAAAGTCGGGGGCATTCCGCAGCACCACTTGCATCACTACGAGGTGCATGGGAGGCACAAAGAGCACAGAAGAGACGGAAACAAAACAAATCAACTTGAGATGATAATCGTTTGACACCAAGGCCCACAAGAAGACAGAAAGAGCACAGAAGAGACAGAAACAAAGCAAATCAACTTAAGATGAGAGGTTTTTTGACACCAAGGCCCACAAGAAGACAGACAGAGCAAAGAAGAGACAAAACAAAGAAAATCAACTTAAGATGAGAGTTTTTGACACCAAGGCCCACAAGAAGACAGAAAGAGCACAGAAGAGACAGAAACAAAGCAAATCAACTTAAGATGAGAGTTTTTGACACCAAGGCCCACAAGAAGACAGAAAGAGCACAGAAGAGACAGAAACAAAGCAAATCAACTTAAGGTGAGAGTTTTTTGGCACCAAGGCCCACAAGAAGACAGAAAGAGCACAGAAGAGACAGAAACAAAGCAAATCAACTTAAGCTGAGAGTTTTTTTGACACCAATGCCCACAAGAAGACAGAAAGAGCACAGAAGAGACAGAAGCAAAGCAAACCAACTTAAGCTGAGAGATTTTTTGACACCAAGGCCCACAAGAAGACAGAAAGAGCACAGAAGAGACAGAAGCAAAGCAAATCAACTTAAGATGAGAGTTTTCTTGACACCAAGGCCCACAAGAAGACAGACAGAGCACAGAAGAGACAAAAACAAAGAAAATCAACTTAAGATGAGAGTTTTTGACACCAAGGCCCACAAGAAGACAGAAAGAGCACAGAAGAGACAGTTTATTGACACCAAGGCCCACAAGAAGACAGAAAAAGCACAGAAGAGACAGAAACAAAAAGATGGGAGTTTTTT